CAATTTTAACTATAATCTATAAAATAACCACTTTTCTACACTTTTGCAGTAGCCAGGAAAAATTGCTTAAAGGTTTCATATGATATCACATAAGCAACTCCCCTTTGCTGATAGAATTCTAGAATGAATTAGCCCTCAGTCAGCTAGTAGTGGACCCCAGGGATCTGGAACTGAGTACTAGGGGGGAGGAAGCTTTTCTGGCTCAGGCCCCCTGGGCTGGTCTTGTCCGTGGGAGCCGTGGCAGTGAGGGTAGCTTAGAGACATTGCTAAGCCCAAGAAGGTAAGATATGTCCACTGGTAAGTGTTGTAGTCACTTTCAAATATTGTTTAACATGTGGGGAAAAATAGCCTTTAGTACACCTGCCAGTCAAACAACACATTTTGACTAAATAGCCGTCATGTCACTGAGAGTTGAGCATAATGAAAAACATTGTTGACTGGGTGAACATGAGAGAACAATGAGCCTCATTTTCATGAATCATCTTCCCAAAAAAGCATACAACATTTCAGGCTGGGACTAGATTGCGAGGCCCATGAGCGTTTGGCTCAGACATCCCTAGAGTAGGCACAGGCTGTGCTCAGCTCCAAGTTTATAGCCATGAATAGAGATTCCTTCAGCTCAACTCAAACACTGGGTTTTCAGGAAATAGCCGTTTACAGAGAGGACCTGCTCATTTTGTAAGATGAATAGGCAGGGACTGGATGAGCCACAGTAAAGTCAATGTAACTCAGCAAACACTTAAACGCACTTACTGTGCCAACCACCATTCCAAGTCAAACACAGTGTCTTTCCCTGCGATCACAGTCACAGGGAGGGATGGGCATATATATAAAACATAAAAATTCCCTAACTCCAAGTTATGCTGTAACAGAGGTGTAATGAGGGCAGAGAGGGAGGGAGAGATCAACTTTAACCACAGGCTGTGGGACAGGGGAAACATTGGCAAAGATTCCACAGAGGAAAAGGTATTTGAGCTGAGTCTTAAAGATATATAAGGAGAAACTTCCAGGAAGTTGGAGAAGATAGTTCAGGAACTGTAAGCTCAGTCTAGAGGTCAGGATATAACTGCAAACATTTCACATATTGTGTATTTCCCCTACTTGCCATTCTACCCTCAGTATTAAACCAAAGGTTCTCCTAGTCTGACTCTTAACTCTGAACAAGCAACCTTTAAAAGAAGGGCCACATCATATGCCATGACCAGCTTAGAACAGGCATGTCCTCACTCAGCAGGTTCCCTGGAACCACACACTGCTCAGAGCCCCAGAAAAAGACTTCTGTTGAAACAGAGGGCTCAAGGAGGTGTGGAAAGTATACTTTGACATGAAGTTAGTAGACCGAGGAGAGAGTCCCAGCCAGGTCCACTCGCCACCAATAATGTGAATTTAGGCAAGTCACTTACTCAATCTGAGCTTGGTTTCTCATCTTTCAAATGGGATAATGCCCCCCATGGGTTGTAGATGGTGCCGCCAAGAGAACAGGCAAATGTCAGACTGCATAGGATCAAATTTAAGCTCTGTCAAACACCGATTGTGTGATCTTGGGCTGGTTATTTAACCTTGCTGCGTCTTGGTTTTCTTGCCTGTCAAACTGAGAACAATAGCATTACTATCTTATTGGGTTACTGTCTTAAGGGAGATCTTAGCACAAAGCCTGATAATAGGATAAATATTAGCTCTTCTTATCACTGGGAGGGTCAAATGAGAGAACTGTGTGAAAGCATGTTAAGAACTAAGGCCCCATAGGTGAGTTGAGTTGCACAGGGCAATCAAGTCAGCCCAGGAGATCTGTACCCTGGACAGAGGATTCACATGTTAAAAAGTTGTTGAAATGGGCTTCCTGGTTCTATTGGGGAAACATTTTAGTTCTACAGAGCATTAATCTGAGGGCAGTAAAAGTTTGTTTACATCACTTGGTCAGTAAAATTTAAAGGTGCATGAGTGTATATGGAAAGCGATTCTATGTCCAAGTCACAGTTAGGGTTCTGATTCCGAAGTGTCAGAGTAATCTGTATCAAGTTCTCCTCTTGAAGATATAAATAATCACCTGGTAATATATCGGCTTGGATTTTTTTATGGATCAGGTTTGGAAGAACATCAGATTGCTCCCAAAATCTACCAATAAGTTTACTGCATAACCAACAATAAATAATATCATTTGTCGAGTACCAAATTACAGAAAGTTTACTTTTATTTCTTCATTAATTTTTACACTATCACCTTCAGGTATATAGTATTATCTTGGTTTGACAGTTGAGGAATCTGAAGGTCAGGATGGTTAAGTGATTTGCATGTGTTGGAGCTGTTTGAACTGGTGTTTGCCTCAGGCAGGTTCTTGTCCTTTGTGCTACACTGCCCTTCAGACATGTTGACCTCTAAGGTTGACAGCTGTAGATAAAAGAAATTAAAAGTCTGAACCAACCCTTTATTTCTAATATGTAAATATATTTAATAAAAGAATTGCTTTTGCTGCCTTTGGCTATAGCCATATTTTTACTGCTCTTGTTCCAGTTGTTTGGACAAATAGGAAACTGCACCTTAAGCAAAGGTCACATGGAAGGGAGTGGATAATGTAATTTGCAAAAGGAGAAACGTTATGAATAGCTGATATTTTTAGAGTGTTATTTTTCTTGTTCACAATGGGTTTTGGTTTCCAGCCTGATAAAATATAAATTCTACAAGGTCTGAGGAGAACTAAGAGATGAGACACTGATGCCCAGTGTGAGGGGAAGATATAAACCTCACTCATAAAGCCTGTCTGAGGGGTGGAGAGAGTGGCAGCTGTGATCCTCAGAGTCCTGGCTGAAAAACTCTGTTCACTCTTCTGCCTTATTTGAGAGTTCCTACTTAACGTGGCTCCCACGGGATTCTGGTTACCTAGGGGGGCTGCAGGATCTGTAGGGACGGCGGGGCCATCGGGGTACTTCCTTTAAATTTGTGAGCCCATACCTCAGACCGGTTCCCAGCACAGCCCAGCCATCATACCATGACTTTCTAACATGTTTGTTCGTCCCCCGCCCCATGACTCTTTATGCCTTCTCCTCTCTCCTGAAACCTGCCTAGGCCTCTCTACCTCTCACTGTCAGTACATGGCCTTGTCTTTCACTTGACAGAGAAAATTTAAGCTATCAGATAGTAGCCCTCTCATCTTCCTTCACCAAATCCCCAACCTGCAGCCTACCATCCTCTCTTTGATGTAACCAAGGAGAAGTTTCTCATTCTTTCTAAGATCTGTCTCTGCTTCCTTTTTCAAAGACTTAGTTCCTTTGGTCATCCTCTTTCTCTCATTCCCTCTACTGGATCATTTCTGTCCACATTCAAGTGTGCCTGCATCCTTTAGCCCACTTCTTTTTAATTAATTAATTAATTATTTTTGTTACAGATGTTTCTCCTTTTTTGCCCCCTGATACTCCCCTCCCCATCCCTACCCGACCTGACCCTAGCTTTGTTGTCCATGTCCATTGTTCATGCATACATGCATATAAGTTCTGTGATTTATCTCTCCCCCACCACCCCCTCTCCTGGGGATTGTCAGTCTGTTCCCCACTTCCACGTCTCTGGGACTACCCCATCAGCCCACTTCTTTAGTTATGAGTTCCCTCAACACACTGCCTTTCCTAGTCAAATTACTGTGTCTGTGTCTTCCCCTTTCTCATCTCCCATTCTTTTCCCCACTTCCATGTCTCTGGGACTACCCCATCAGCCCACTTCTTTAGTTATGAGTTCCCTCAACACACTGCCTTTCCTAGTCAAATTACTGTGTCTGTGTCTTCCCCTTTCTCATCTCCCATTCTTTACTAAGCCCACTTCAATGTCTTTGGCTTCTGCCATTTCATCAAAGCTCCTCTTGACCTTCATATTCTCAAATCTAAGAGTTACTTTGTACTTATCTAACTTGAACTCTCAAAAGTGTGTGTATGACACACAACTCTTCCTCCTTGGCATGCTTGCCTCCCTTGACGCCCCCGACTCCATGCTCTCCTGGTATTTCTCCTACCTCTCTGGCTGCTACTTCCCAGACTCCTCTGTAGCTCCTTCTTCTCCACCTGAGCTAAGGGCAGAGATGCCAACGGCTTGCTCCTGAGTCCTCTTCTCATCTTTCCTCGTACTATCTCCTAGGCAACCTTACCCATTCCCCTCACTTTAAGTATTATTTGTATTATGATGGTACCAAATGAATTCCTTCTGCCTTTGGTATACCCAACTACCTACCTGCTCTCTCCACTGGGATGCCTCTTGTCCAAAAGTTAACTCCTGCCTCGCTGCCTCCTTTCAGTGCCTCAAATATCTCTGTGTCTTTTGTGTCTCAGGGTCTTCATATCCTGCATCCTGTACCTAGACAGATCTTCCCTCTGTAATAGATATAACCAACTGACTTCTCATCTTTTAAATCTATGCTTCAGTTATACCACCTCTGGCCTTTTTGACCATGTGGTCTAAGCAGATTCTTTCATTATTGTCTGCCACCGTACAGATTTGTTTCTATCATGAAAGTTACCACCACTTGCAATGAATTAGATATTTTTTCTTTCCTTTTTGGACTTTTTTTCCTGCTAAGCTCTGTGTTGGCAAAGATCATTTATTTTCTGATGTATCCCCAGCACATTACAAGATGCCTGAGTCCGTCAGTACTCAGTAGATGGACAGAGGAATGGAATGACATTGAAAGTTTGGGTCCGCCTCCATCTTTCTCGTCTTGGTGCTGTGGAGCTCCCAGTAGCTGTCTGTCCACCCGCAGCATCTCCTGGAATAAGAATAAAGGTGGACTTGGGAGCATGAGTACAAGAGGGAACTGGCGCAGTATTTGATGTTTGGGGGCCTAGGGAGGATTCATGGACTAGGGACTTTATAAATCTTGTCTCAAGGTAGAAAGACTGAAATGAACTCAATGCAATGAGTTTCCTCACTTCTGACCAGGAATCAGGCCAAAGACGTGGTTTGGTTTTCAGATGCCCAATCTGTCCCTGAAAGGACACACTGTACTTCCCTCTTCTCACTAGTGGAAAAACAAACGGGGCCCCAGATTGTGAAGCCTCTGCTCCCACGCCAACTCCAAGCTGCCTGGAGGAGATTAGCCAGGAGACCAAGGCCGGGATGGAGGAAGAAGCGTACAACAAGAGGTGAGTCAGGCCGCTCTGCGGTCACCTGGCTAGTCTCAGAAGATACCTTCCCACAGACCTTCCCTGTCTCCTAGAAGATTTGGGGAAGCAACCAGCAGCCCCAGCATCTCCTTGCCTCAGTAAGGAGCTACATCGGAAAGAGTAGTACTATTCCACAGGAAGCACAGGAGGAAGCAAGGCAAGAGGGTGTGGTCAGACAATAACAAGACTGTCCTCTTTACAGGCAAAAAGCCACCAGAACGTCACTGCCCAGAATGATATAAAAATCCAGGGCTCTGGGTGGGTTCCTCTTGAGGGTGCTTGAGGCTTTTGAGCACCCCGAGCAGTCATGCCGCTGCCAAAAATGCCCAGGAGCAGCTGCGACTCCGCTTGCGACAACTGCCTCAGCCTTTCCTTCTTCCTGTAAACCGGAGTTTCCTCAACTTCCAACTGTCCCCTTCTCTAGCTGAGCTTCAATAGCAACTCTGGCTTGTCAGTCACAGATGGGACAGAGTACTGATCAGGGCCCAAGCCCAGCCAGGTGGAGGATTACCTCTGACCAGGCATCGCATCCTGAGGCTCCTAGGGAGACAGCTTCCCACTGGTGTAAAACCTGGAGCCTGTGTGTGGCAGCCACGCACGCCATCCTCGGGTGCCCCAGCCAGACTGTCCTGGTAAACTCGGCGTAATATTGATGCCGGGAGAAGGAAATCAGAAGGCTCTCTCTGGGAAAGCCTGTGCTTAACCCAGAGCTATCCTCTGCTCTCGGAACGTGTGAGCATAAATGACTCCATTGGCTTTGTACACATTCACTGAGTACCTCTCTAAGGCGAGCTGTGTGCCTGTCACTTCCATAAAACTTCCCACAAGCCTGAGTGACAGGTGTCACCCTCCCTAGATCAAGCCGTCTTCCCGGCACTTCCTCGGAATGTTCCAACCCCCGCGAGACGAATGACATGCTCTCCACTTCACACGTGAGGAGCTGAAGTGCCAAGGTTCCATAGCAAACAAATGCGGGCTTCGCCCCACTGAGTGTTTGGTGGCACAAGAACCCAGTCGCGTTCCTCCCTGTCCATTTTGTCACACTTTTGTAAACAGGAAGGATGACTGAAGATTGAGGGGAAATTGTACTGACATGAGCCATGGGAGTCAGGGGAGCTTCCCAGCTTTTTCCTGTTGTGTGGAACCACGGGACGTGCGTCATTACTGGAGGTGCTCAGGTCCTCTCCTCTCGGACATCAGGAAAGGATGCTCTGTGCCTGGTCTTTCCAGACTCAATTATTCCCTTTTTGACTTCCAGATACCAGGAAGATCTAAAGAAGACCAAGGAGCTCCAAGACCTAAAGGAAGAGGAGGAAGAACTTAAGAGTGAGGGCCCTGAGGAACCCAAAGAGGCAGATGAAACTGAGGAAGAGGGAAAGGACCAGAAAAGCAGGTGGGATCCCTCGCCATTGCCGAACTGAGTCACGATGCATTAACTGCACAACATCTGCGGAGCTGCCAGTCCAGGGCATCAGTGGGCCTGCGGCCCAAATGAGCAGGCAACAGAAACCAAGAGGGCACTCGTGTTGGGGGAGGAGGCAGAGGAAACTCCAAAGAGCCAAAATAGTTAACAAGGGGATGTTTGCAAGAGCTGAGAGGTCAGAGGTGTTCTGGGGGTGGTGGGGGCTGGGAGCTGTAATCAGGAGCCAAGAAACCAACTTTAAGGTTCCCTGACTGGAGTCCCTCCTAGCCCAGCCACAGTTAGCTCCTTTTCCAGCCATCTTCATGAATGATCCAAGGTCAAGGAAGCTGGCCTGAAGCCCTAGAGGGGGTTTCTTACAAAAACAGAGGCAGCGAGAATACATAGATGTAAAGGACAAACTCAGGCTGGTGGCAAAGGTGAGTTTCCAATAGGTCCCTTCTTCCATGCTGAGCAAACAAGCTTGGTCTCTAGACAGTGGTTTCACTTTGGATTGGAAATACTTGGAGTTTTAAAAGTATGCTTTATATTTCAAATGTATTTTTCTCTAAATCTGAAAATATGTATAACATGTAGATAAAAATAGTATAGATTCTGCATCTTGTCCTTTTTGTGTCCTGGATTTTAATGATATCCCAACTTCATATATTCTACCCTATTATCTGTATTAGTACATTCAACCCAGAAGTCGAGTTTTGATGATTGAAAATGTGGTTACAGCACACTTGGAACACTTCACCAAAATCTTTGTTTTTAGACCCCCAGGCTATCCTAGGGTTGAGAATTTCTCCAGCCGAAATAATCAATGATCTAATTAGCTGCTAAACTTGGGACAGGGTATGTGCTATGTCTGGAAGACTGTGGAAATCACATGTATGCAACCAAGGTAATAAAATGAAGATTAAACATGAGATAGATATGCTTCAAAGCACATAGGAACAACCAATAGAGCCCAGTTGGTGGAAGATTCAACCACAGTGAAAGGTCTCGGCCTATATGAGTTAAGCCCCATGTTCAAGGGAAGAGCTTCACCATGGAAAACAACCTCTGCTAGGATGCACCACCTCTACTAATGAAGGAACCCCCAAGTTTCAGCAGTGAAAGCACAGCCCCTACTCCAAGCAGCTGGATCCTGTTCTCCTTATGTCTTCTCTCTCTCGGGGTCGTCTGCTCTTATTTTGCAGACCACCACAATGCTTTCCTCCTTTTAATGCAGTCAAGCCCAGGCCTGGACAATAGCTCCTCTTTTGGCCCCCTTCAATAGAGCTAACACAGGCTGGAACTTCTAACATTTCCAAACACCGAGAAAAAACAAAAGAGAACTAAACAGAGTATATGGAATATAAACAGTCTGGTTCACAAGGCACAGGGCTGGAATCCTTATCTAGCTAATTTGATCTCAGAAGATTTGTGGCTTCCTCCCATTTCATGAACCCCCAGGGAAAGTAAGCCCGTGCCTGTGTCCCTCTCTGTACAGCTCCTGGTCAGTAGCATAAGGAAATGGCTGCCCTTTGCATTCTTCATTTGAGGGTGTCCTCCTGGTTCTACCTATCCTGAGGGACCTCGTTCTCTCTCCAACCTTGGCTCCCTTTCGGATTTACATTTGGTCTTGAGTACATGCCTATACCACAGGTGATGGATACCAGGCATCCCCACAGCCCTAAGAAGGGTCCCTGTCCTTCAGCATAGCGGTGTAGCTTCACCTTTTCAGGCCATGCATGATGACTGACATTGCTGTCATATATACTGCCCTCTCAGAGTTATAGGCTCCCTCCCTCAACTGGGACCTAAGCCAGACTAGCCCGAGAGCTGTTGTGTTCAATGCCAAGCAATGCACTCATTTCTGAGTTCCTTATACACACAACTGCCTGCAGGCACCTTCATTCAAACATGATTCCCCCATGAAATTTTCCTATCTCACCAACAAGCAAGGTCTGAAGTCATTGAAAGTCCATGTCCTACTTAGTGAATTTCAAAACAAAACACAGAAAATACTGGAGTAACCTCAGCAGCTGACCCCTTATTTAAGAGATTCAACAACAAACACTAAAGTCTTTTTGTCTGAATTTCTCCTCTGTTTAATAATATATAGTAATGTAATCTGTTATAAATATTACTTTCTGGAGGATCAGCTTAGATGAACTTTGGTGAATCAATCCAATATCTTAACCGTATTATAAAGAGAACACAGTTTTCTGACATTGAACAAGTAAAACTCATTGGTGCAACAGAAAACTTTAATCTTTTCTCCCACTGCCTGTTCAAATTTGCTCTACAGAATTAAGGTAATATTAGGTACATTCTTTTACTTTTCCAAGAACTCTCGGAAAATCTAAGTCCTCTGGTCAAGTTTAAGTCCCAAGAATAACCTCATTTCAGTAATTAAAATGGTCAGTTCCCTGAAATAGTTAAAAGTTTAAACTTCTTATAAAGTTCAAGTGTCTTCCCTCCCCCAGCTCTGGTCTGCTTCAGGAAGGAAGTCCACATTGGGGACAGGGAGCATGGCTTCTCTCTCAGTCTCCTACTTACACTCCTACCTGCCACCCCAGCTTGGCTAATGCCGTGTCTGACCTCTCCAGAGTTAGTGCTGGGAACGGGAATCTAGAGTAAGGGGTAGGAAAGGCATTACTTGGCTGGTGTTGTTGTCACTGGGCTCCGGGCCTTGCAGGGTTTGAAGCTGATGTTCTGACTGTTCAGTATGGCGCTTTATGGGACCTCCCGAGAAAACCACGTCTCCGACCCCAGCATCACACACGTTCAGACCATTGCTCAGGCTCTCTCAGCTGCAGGCTCTTTTATGAGGGTAAATGCCTCTTTTCCAGTCGGCTACTTAGAACTTGTCTCTTGGTCCTTGGGCATTCGGACGTATAGCTTCATTGCTCAGCTCCTAGGTAGCATTTCCAGACAGAACCCACCACCTCCCATGCCAGCTCTCCTTCACCTGACTACACCCAGTGGAGGTGAAATATGTACCTTTGGCCCACTCCTGGTGGGAGGGTAGTTCTCCTCCTCATGGCCCCCTACTCTGATGCCACAAAGCACTTCAGCAAGATCCTCGCTCTTCAGATTTCTCAGGTGTGAATCACACACAACAGTCCACTGTCCCCCTTAGGGCTGCATATCGGGCTGTCCAAGCAGCGCCCCCAGGTGAGGGGGAAGCACCTTCACCCCGCCTTATGGGTGAGTGGGCAGAACTGAGAACAACCAAAAACTGGTTTCCAAAGGAATTCTATTTCTAATCTAATTCTATTTCTAACCTCTTTTATAGGCTGAAAGTGGGTGACCAGCTAAGGGTCATGAAGCCAGATCCTGACCGCCTCCTTTGCCGTCCCACAAAGTGTGGGGCTAAAATGGCATTCTCTCCACTGTAGCAGTTTGTTTTGAGAATGGAAATACAGCCCAAAAGAAAGGCTGCATTTTAGCATTTAATTATATCTAAATAGAAATGAAAGAATCTGAATACAGCTGAAAGAAAATAAGCTTGCATGTCTAAGCTCTCCCTTTCCAACAGTTGTGAAAATAGCCGATGATTTTCACCTCAGCGAATGTGCTCAGTTTTGCTTTGCTCAGTTGCTCCTGAAACGAACATCAGAGAGTTCCCACATGGGAAAGAAACTAATCAGTACCTTAGCTTAGCATCCGAGGCAGGCTCTCTCAAGTATCTGGTCCCGTACTAAAGAGGGCATCGTTGAGTTATTTTATGCGTTGTTATGGCGTCTTTTGTCTGGTCACTCTGCAGTAGAGTGCTCTGCTTCTCAGTGAACAGCCTGCCTGTTTCAGTGTCTGTGTGACCCTGCAGGTCTTCAGAAAGCCCTCTGCCACTGCTCATCTCCTCCATTTGGTGATCTTCAATATTCTCTCGTATATTGTACATATTTAAATAGATTTGGGATTAGAAACAGGAAGAAATTCTAGGTTAACGAATGTGTCCAGGGCTTCTCCAGAGAGACCTAAGAACGGACTCTTCAAAGCCATCTGACGAAATGCCTTTTCACTAGGCCACAAACAAAGTGGAAAAGTTGAAAGGCAGTTGGGAAGAGGGGAGTGAAGCAGGCAAGAAATGAAGGGGGACGGAGATGAAAGGGAAGGAGGGAAGAAGGAAGAGAGAGAATGAAAAGGGGAGAGGGAAAGAATATGAAGAGAAAGATAAAGAGAGAAAAAATAATGAAATGAAAATCAATGGGGTTGAGAAAACATCTTAACGAAGCCTCGCAGAGGTTGCTGGAGCCCACGAGTCCTCTGGTTGACCCGGGGTGGTTTGAAGTGAACTCTTGAGGTTGATCTGGTTGCTTGTCATTTATCATTGACATCAAGTCTTCTAGGAGTTTAGCATAATCCTTCCACTCTGGACATAGTCAGATGTGAAAATGGGGACAACAAACCGTGTGTCCGAACAGGGAGGCAGACAAAAATTAGAACTTGGAACTGATCACTAATACCGCTAAGTGCAGAAAAGATGCTGGTCCTGCCTAGATGCATGGACCTACAGTCAGCTAACCTTGTATCCTGGGGCGTGGGAGAGTTCAGATATCTATGCCATCTCATGAACAGATGAGAGCATGTGTGAATAATCAAACAAGCAAATAGAGTGTTGTATCTCAGTAGCTCCTAACATCAAGGCTATGGATTGGTGGCATCAAAATCATCTGGGGAAACTCTTAAATATGGATTCCTAGGCCATACCTTTGGCGAGTCTTATTCAGTAGGCCTGGGTATTTTGAATAAGTGCTGCCAAGTGACTCTATATACTACTGAGTTTGAGAACCACTGCTCCAGATAGTATGGAAAGTATCCCAGACAGAGAAGTATGGGTCTGGGCATTGTATATGTGCTCAATATATTAAATCTTCCACCTATTTTTTTCATTTCACAGCAAACTTGAAGAATTGGTTCATTTCTTACAAGTCCTGTATCCCAAACTGTGTCAGCACTGGCAAGTCATCTGGATGATGGCCGCAGCGATGCTGGTCTTGACTGTGGTGTTGGGGCTGTACAATTCCTATAACTCTTGCGTGGAGCAGACGGAAGGGCCCCTTGGAAGATCCACTTGCTCAGCAGCCCAGAGAGACTCCTGGTGGAGCTCAGGACTCCAGCACGAGCAGCCGACAGAGCAGTAGGAAACCTGACATCTAGCTAGTGTCCTGCTCCAGCACACAGCTCATCACCCTTTCCCCAAGTTACAGTGCTGCCGGGCCCAGGTGTGGTCTTGCTGCCACCAGCCCATCAGGGAATGAGCAGGGGTTCTTTCAAAATCAGCTCCTCTGTGAAAGCTAATCACACATCATAAACTGATGTTCTCAGAGGATCAACAAAACTTCTCTGGGAAAGCAGCCAGTGGATGAAGAAGTCACCTTCGCCATGGAACTTTAATGGAAGGGAAGGTCACCTGCCCTTGGCTCAGATGGCCAGGAGAAATAAATACCTTCACTGCGGGGGACAGTAAGAAGCTCCCTCTCCCCCTTTTCCTCTTTGCAATAGGAAATCAGGAAGAATTGTGCCTTAAGGCTCACTCTAACCCGAGGATCAGGCTTGGAATTTGGAGTCACAGCGTGAATATCTTCCCATTTCCCATCTCATTCCTATTCTCTTTCTGCCCCTTTGGAATCAGAGTTTCTCTTTACAGAAGTAGGAAAGGTTTCTCGGAAAAATATTTAGGCTGAATTTAGCTCAGCGCTTGAAATGCAATGGGAAGGTGTGAACTAATATATACGCATCTGTACACACACACACAACACACATACACACAGCACGCATGTGCATGAAGCCAACAAGCATCCAAACATGTGCTCTGGATAAAGCCAACCCACAGATTTTTACTAGGTATAGGGCAGTCGCCAGACACCTGTTCAATGAGCTCTCCATGTGGATTCAAGATGTTTGCAAAACACTGAGAACTCATGGCTTCGAGGGTGAACTTGCTGGTCTCCGTGTCGAGTACAATTCTAAGCTGTTGTACAGCACAATCTACTCCCTGTTGTTCTCTCCCCACTGGGAGCAGTTAACCCCCATGTAGGGTGAATGGGGAGACACAGTGTGCTTCAGCTGCCGTGTGCCCACACGCCAGTGTGCAGCTGCACCGAGAGCTTCAGTCCCAGCGGAACTGCCAACTCAAACGTGTTTCAGAGCATTCCCAGTTGTGTAGCCAAACACGGAGAAAGCACATCCCCCCTTCCATTGGACCTCTCGCTCCACCTTCACAGCCTTCATTCAGCCCTCATCAGTTTCGGGGTGTTGGTTTCTGTGTGGGTTTTATTGTGGTTGTTTTGCTTTTGTTTTTGTTTTGTGGAAGTTGTTTGTTTTTGTTACTAATACTCATAATATAAAACTATGAGACAAACACGGTTGTAGGTATTACATAGGTATTAATTCATTTAGTCCCCAAGAAAATCAAACAAACAAACTGTGAGGTGGGTACTACTCTTCTCATTTTCAGATAAGGAAACTAAAGCACAAAAAATACAAGTAACTCTGAGAGGATACCCAGGTAGTAAATCATGGGGCTGGAACTCAAAGCCAGGCAGGCTGGCCCAGGGGCTGCGCTCTTAACCGCAGCACTAAATTGCCTCTTCCAGGGGTCTCCTACCTGGACGCCTTACTTTCCAGTCCCACTCCGCCAAGTGACCCTTCAGCACCTCCAAACCATTTCTGGTTCCCAGACTACCCTGTTTTTTCTCACAGCTCTGTTCCTCCACTGACTAGTCTTTCTTCTGCTATTCTCTTTTCTTCTGGTCACTCTTCAGGACCAAGTGCAAAAATCATCTCTCCCATACAGGCTTTCATGACCTCCCGCCAGCTCCCCACTCTACCCCACGCAGTAGGACACACCTCCTCTGTGCTTTCTGACACTTTTTAGACATCCTCGTTATTGACCAAACAATAATGTGTAGCAACTTATTTCTGTGTCTCTCTCCCCTAGCATTTTTTCTTCAAAGACAAGAACCATGTCTTACCAGTTTCTGGGTAAGGCTTATTATGGTGGCTAATGCTAGGGAGGTCGTCACTAAATGTTGGTTGAAAGAACAAGGGAGCCTCCAAGGTGGCAGGGAGCAGCCTGGGGACAGCTGACATTTTTCATACTTCCCAGTACCAGCACCAGCACCACCTCTATCGCAATAAGAAAAGTAACATCTTTATTAGCCTCGACTTATTCTAATATTTTTCAGTCTATTCTGAGAGAGAACAGAAATGGGGCCCAACTAGCAACATCATTTCCAAGCTCCAGAACGAGGCGTGATGCAAGCCTTCCTTTCAGAAGACCCACCTAGATTAGGCCCCACTTGAGAACGGCATGTTGATTTAAGGGGCACATCCTTTCCAGTGTCTAGAAAATCACTGTGAGAGAAGCCCAAGCCAAGGTGGACCAAGGATGTGCATTAGGTAAAGAGGTGCAGATCAAGGCAGACAGACTGGGGGCATGGATGGATGGTTTCCCTGCCCCTTCCAGGGAGACCAGACATGAAGGAGCTCTAGGCCCTCGGAGCAAAAGACAGGATGCAAATAGAGCTCTTGAGAGAGTGGCTGAGAGACGGGGCTCTAGGCTGTTAATGTCCAGCCTCCGCCTCCTCTTAAAGAAGGACTAGCTGAGCTGATCTACTGTCCACTTGGCCACAGGGTTCCCACCTTTGTTTCCAGTTGAGGCAAAGGCCAGGAAAGGGGGTACAGTGAGTTCCTGAACCTCCAGGCGCTCCACAGAAAGGCCTGCTAGAGTCCTCCCAGACTAGGCCTTCACTCAAACTACTCCGAGAATAAGGGAGACCGAGGAAAAGAAGGGCCATGAGAATAACCACATTTCCGTGGGTATTCCTGAAAAAGTACTCATCGGTATTTCTTTTCTGAAAAGCAAAGGTCAACCTGAAGCGGATGGAACTGTTGCCAAAGCAGCAGGGAAATGGAGAGAAAGACGCTCTGTCTTTCCAAAAGTGATATTGATCTGAAATAAAAGTTCCCCTCAAAATGCCTCTGAAGTCCGACATTTCTGCTTTGCCCTAGGACTCTGGTGCCTGTTCTATTGCAGAGTGATGTGTTGTATGTGCCATTGTTGATGTCACCTCCCGAAGGACCTTCAATTTCCAGCTGCTACAAAGCCAATATGTATTGCTCCCTGTGTACAGCCTGGCAGAGCAAATGGAGAGGGAGATGCTGGATTTGTGTAGCACTGGCTGTCGGTTCCTAATATTGTTAAACCTCGCACAGGTGTGCTAGCATTGAACTGTAGAGTGTCACATGCCTGAGTTTGAAAATAAAAGCACATTTCCAAACCTTTGGCAACAGCTAAATGCCTCCTCATTTTATGGAGCTGAGCCAACAATCTTGCCCCAAACCAGAATTAAATAGATCCCATTGACGATTAGTATCTCCCAGAGCAAGCCAGAAGTCCCCAGTGCAGGCAGCTGGATCAGTTCTTCTCCTTCTCCCCTTCCCTTCCTGACCCTAGTTCCCTGTGCCTTCCTGGCCTGTGGTTTAAACTAATACATTTTTGCTATGATTGAGCCTGCTGAGTGTTTACCAACCTAATTTCCACAGCTAGACTACATTCTTCAGTCTTTCTTGCAGCTGGGTGCAGGGGAATGTAGACCTTCCAGATCTAGTTTCCTGGAAACAAACTATCTTACCAATACTTCACACCCTCTTTATTCCACTCTGTTCTCATCAAATTCAGAGGATTCAGTTGAGGACCCGAGGCTGAGAACATGGCAGAACCCCTAGCAGAAGCTGAGTCTCTGAATGGGCACTCAAAGCATTCCATGACATGAGTGAAAACGAAATTTTAGTGTATTAAGCTGCAGAAATTCAGAAATATTTGTTATAGCAGTGAGCCTACCCTGACTAATGCATATACTTGAACCAGAAATGGGGTGCTTCAATAACACATTTTCAAAATATGAAGCACTGTCTTAGCAGTCAAGTGTCAGGAAATTAGAGACTGGTAGCAGGGCCGGAAATAGTGTGACACCATGTTATGAATAAAACAAAACATTTGGTAAGGTCTTACCCCTGATAACTTAGGGTAAGCCCATGGACAGCCATTATATTTAGAAGTGGTTGGAAAGAGTCAGAGTTGGAGTATGTGAACTTGTATTGGCTACCCTTGGCAAGATATTGTAAGAAAAAAAAGCACTCAGTCAAGAAGTGGCTATTTGGCTCTGGCCGGTTTGGCTCAGTGGTTGGAGCGTCAGCCTGTGGTCCAGAGAGACCCCAGTTCGGTTCCCGCTAGGGGCGCGTACCTTGGTTGCAGTTTGTCCCCAGCCCTGGTTGGTCGTGGGGGTGGCAGCCACTCAATGTGTCCCTTTCACGTCAATGTCTCTCTCTCTCTCTCTTCCTCTCTCTCCCTCCTGCTCTATCTGAGCAAAAAATAGAAAAGTGTCCTCGGGTGAGGATAAAAAAAAAAAAAAAGAAGAAGAAGAAGTGGCTATTTGGATGCAGAAAGGGAAAAAAAAAAAAACCCCAGTGTTCAGACTGAAGGGTTAGAAAATCTAACTTCTTCTAAACCCCAAACAGTAACTAAAAAGAGCTTTGAGTGAAAAAGAACCCATAAAATTTCTTAGTTGAAACTAGATCAACTTAGCCCTATGGCAAAGACCAGATTAAGGGGACTCCAATTGTGCTTTTAAATTAACTAGCCACCATTAAATTAGAGAGAGGGAGGGGGAGGGAGAGGGGGAGGGGGAGGGGGAGGGGGAGGGGAGGGAGAGAGAGAAAGAAAGAAAGAAAGAAAGAAAGAAAGAAAGAAAGAAAGAAAGAAAGAAAGAAAGAAAGACAGACAGACAGACAGACATGGGCCTGAGAAAAAAATGAAATACATCTTGAGAATTGTAACTGGGAAAGGATTTGGGATATAATTATCTTGGGATCTAATCAAAGGTAGGTAACTGTGGCGGGCAGAATTTCAAAATTCTTCCACCACAGAATAAGCATGGAAATGGATATTTTTCAGTGTCTCCAGGTGACAGCCCAGCCCAGCCAGCACCCTGATTTTAGTCTTGTGAGATCCAGAACAGAGGACCTAGTGAAAGGCCACCCAGACTTCTGACCTACAGAATGGTGAAATAATACATGGGTGTTGGTTTAAGTCATTAAGTCTGCATTGATTTGTTACACAGCAATAAAAAGCTGACACGGTGGCCTTTATAATGTCTCTTCATTGGTATTCCAGAACTCCTACTGCCCGGTGACTGCTGTGTCACCCATTTCTCTCCCTTACCACATGGCAGTTTTTACTGAGGTGATCAAGATCTTGCTTCACCATTGCATAGCGGGGAAGGGGGGGGGTAGTGTGTGTGCAGCATACAACTATTCTAGTTCATAGGTTACCAGACTACAAAGTACCTACCACACCTGGACCTGATAGAGGTGGCTGAAATAACTCAGAGATCATGGACTTTGAGCTGAATAGAACCTGGAATTGTCTCCTTTGAGAACAGAGTGACTGTATTTTGTGTGTGATAGAAAAAGTAAATTCTATACTGGCTGATCAGAAGGGTAAACTGTGGCAGAAACTGCTATGTTCACCAATTAACTTTTCCTTTTGTTCCTGGGCACACAGCTAGATGACATTCCAGACTCCTTTGCAGTTAGATGGGAACATGTGACAAAGTTTATCCAATGGAATATGGTTGGAAGTGATATAGCTACTTCCCAGGCCTGGCTTAAAGGCTCATGATGGGGAGAATCTGATTCCCGCCTTCCTGTCTACCTTGTTCTATAGTGGTAGTCACATACGTTTCTGAGGTACCCATAGCCTGAGGCTTATGCTCACTGAAGTAATGAGGTCTAAAGATATTAAGATATTTAGATATTGGAAATATTTAAGGGCTATCTCCCAGTCTCTTAGAAGTTTCCTGTGTTTGTGTAGAGGAGATTCTCCTTTTGCTCTTGGTATTTTCTGTATAGATAAATAACTTATGAATACCATTTATATAGAAAAGAACTAGTTATTCATACACTATTCCTATATATGACATTCAGATCGGAGAAAACTCATAAACCTTTGCTCAAGGCATTACTCTCAAGCCAGAATTTCATAATTACTATGGGGGACCAACCACTGAAAATTCAGCTGGAAAAACAGAAGACAGTCTGCTCATAAACCTCCCATTCATCAAGGAGAAAAAAGAAGTCTAAATTGGATTTTGGTCTACCAGAGAAGTTATTTGGTCTATAAGAGAAGTTATTAAAGAAAGTTATTATAAAGGACCCCTGTAGTAAATCCTATTGTAAAGTCAAAAAAACCTTTCTTGTAAAGTATAAAATCACTAATTTGGTAAATTGCCCCCTACTTGCATTTTTGAATATGAATTTTTTTGTGTTTGGTTTCTTTGAAGAAGGAATCACCTGCAGTGGTATAGAAAACTGAAATGTGTAAAAGAAGTCCCAAAGGGAGGCATGAAGACTCTGTAATTGGTATTTAAATGGGCATTTGTTTTCATGAACCTTAGCATCATTCCCTAACAGATCAGAAGACTATGCAGCTGGGAGAAAAAACACACCCCACTGATTGTGAAATAAAAAGTACAATCCATGCTCACTCTCTTTTAGAGACAGAGACAGAGACAATCCTAGGAGTACATGATGAATGGGCTCCACAGGCAATAACAAGGCGCATGTGAGAGATGAGCTGGTGGGGGCAGTGGGCGGTGGCACGGAATATGGGAATTGGGGAAACCTTCAGCAGTTTACATTGTGCTATCTGCCTTCCTCATTTCTGTGCTTTCTGAGTCAGCATTAGCTAAATTTTCCAGAAAGCTATCCACAAAGTACAGCCTGAGCATTCAAGGACGTCACTCATTTCCCCCAGTGACCTTGACAAGTCAGAGCTTGAAAGCAGGGAAATCCGGATGTCTCGGTTATGAAGTGGAGCAGTGGGGGCCCCAACATATTTCCAGAAGTCTCCATCCAGACTGGTGATTGCACGCCTCTGTTACTGCCAGTGGCTGTCTGAGGTGTTTCTCTGGCTCGGAAGGAGTTGACACAATGACCAAGTGCTTCAGCCTGGTGTTGCTTCTTACCTCCATCTGGACCACAAGGCTCTTGGTCCAAGGCTCTCTCGGGGTACAAGGTAGGTTTCTTAGCAGAATGCCAACCTGAGACAAGGCAAGATCTTAAAACCTGTCCTAAGCCTACCAAGTTCTTGACTGTGGATTGCTGGGAGTGGGGCAACCTTCAGTGTCCATAGAAGATCAAATTGGTAATATTTGTCTGCCAGGAATGTTTTCACCATATTGTCAATTTCACCAAAATGATTCACATTTACCTTTATGTTATCTTGACTTTTGTTTTTGGCTATGGATTATTTTTAATGATATTTTTAAATAAAACATTGAGGAGAGATCATTTGTTTTTAAAAATGTTTCATTGAAGAAGCAAATCATAATTATAAAAAATAACTAACTTTCACAGAATATTGGCTTGTTTTATATCTTTGGAAGTGCAATATAATTATTTAAATTTCAATTTTACTATATTATCATGAAATGCATATGTTTTTAATATGCAGTAAATAGCAAATTAAATGAAAGAATTATGAAATATAGGTTTGAAAATTGGCCATCAGTTTTCCACCAAGGGAATGACTTGAAATGATTTTTGGGCTTTGAGATGCCTAAATGGTAACCTCATTCTGCATTGTAGGCAAAAAAACTGTAACCACAAATCACTCATTTCAGCTCTGGACAAATGGAATTCTGAGTACATGCAAAGAAAATTGTGTATTCCTATGCCGAAAGATGCCTGAGACACAAAATAGGTTGAGAACAGACATCCGGAGTTAATTCATATATTGTTGTCTTTAATTTTATAAAGGAGGCTAGAGTTATATAATTGACTTTTTTCAAATACCAGAACTGTTACTGTCAAATAAGTTTGGTCCTCTTTGAAATTCCCCCAAGAAGACTATTCATTTTTTCCCCAAAATGCTGCCATTACTCAAGCTATTTTGAAAATTGTTCTTTGACAATGACTCTATCACACTCTTCACACCATCTTCAATAACGGTAAAAATGTCCTAAGGAAATTAAAGTTTTGGAAACAACTGGAAGTTATTCAGAACCATGATTGAGGACAAGGTGGCCGGTGAAGGTGAGTATGGGGATGGGAGCCAGTATTCTTGAGGGTTATGTAGAGATAGAAAGTTAAGTGTTTGTATATATTATATCTTTTTTTTTTTTTTCATCCTCACCCGAGGACATTTTTTTCTATTTTTTGTTCAGATAGAGTGGGAGGGAAAGAGAGACAGAGAAACATCCATGTGAAACGGACACATCGAGTGGCTGCCACCCGCACGACCCAACCAGGGCCGGGGACAAAATTCAACCGAGGTACATGCCCCTAGTGGGAATCGAACCCGGGTCTCTCTGGACCACAGGCTGACGCTCCAACCCCTGAGCCAAACCAGCCAGGGCTGTATATATTATTTCTTAAAAAGGAATGATTTCTGGGCTTTTGAGATGCCTGGCCTTTTGCATTGTAGGCAAAAAATTGTAACCACAAATCACTCATTACAGCTCTGGGGAAATAAAAATCTGAGCACTTTAATAGAAAAATTATGTGTTCCTCTGCTTGAGAGTATTTCAAGAAGACATTTTATAGATGAAAAAACAGGTTCAATGAGGCCAAGTGACTTGCCTGATGTCACACAGGCAGTAAAAAATAAAGCTTGGGTCTGAATTCAGCTCTGTCTGATTGCTAAACATATACTATTTTGACTTTGCTTGTTGTTTCCTGAGAACTCAAGAAATTACTGGTGTTCCCCTTGGATATCAGCTCCTTATTGCTTAAAATCGACTATTATTTGTTAACTGCCTACTATGGACCCAGGCTCTTCTAGGTACAAGTTATCTAATTTAATTCTGACAAAAATTCTATGAAAAAGATATAATTATCTCCATTTTACAGATGAAAATGTTAATTTGACCAAAGTCCCACAGTCAATTAACATTACGAGAAATATTCAAAGCTAGGTCTATTGCCCAGAATAGGTCTGTCATTAGTACTAGTAATAATATTTAGAGTAAAAATGAGGTATGATGAGAGAGTGTCAAGACTTTATAGTATACTTAATCAACCTGCAAGTGTCCCCACGCCCCCCAAACAACAGCCCTAAGAAGTTTGAACAATAGTCAAACTTATAGGCTAAGTGAGCCAAATTCCAGGACAAACGGTGTTCCAAGAGTTCAGCTCTGGTTTTGTGTGTGCATGTTCATCTTTTCTCCATAGCACAGTGTAAAGCAGAACTGTGTCCTAGTTAAGGCCTGGGGTTTCAGAGTCAGTCGTAATTGGGTTTGTGCCCTCAATCTGCCACCTAGTTGCTCTATATCCTTGGGCTTGGGAGAGTTACTTAATCTTCCTGAGCTTCAATTTTCTGTTAACAGAGACAGTGTTTGGCACAGAGTAGCATCAACAGATTATAGAAGTTGGAATTTTATTGGTATTCATATTAATATAAGAGGTTTTGTCACAAACAATTACATTGGACTGTTGGCTCTCAGGTCTCTATTGGTGACAGCAGCGTCTGGAAGCAAACAAGGCCATCACAAATATTACATATAAAATACATATTCCTTTCCGCAGCCCCCTGATCCAGAGCATAGCACAGTCACGTGAAGGACTTAGAAATGCTCCCTCTGTGTTTCAACAAAAAAACTTTTTAATACTAACCTAGAAAGTGGTCAAAGCATTTGGGCATCCGATGCACAGAACTGTGTACAAGCAATTACTTGGGAGATTGAAATGTCCTTTTATGAACTTTTGCATGTGAAGCCCAATAGGAATAATGTTCCTGAATGCAATGCAACTCACAATTTCATACTGGTCTATAAATCTTAAAACTCAGAAGGAAGAGATCCAAAAAACAGATTCATTAGATTTTGAGTAAAATATTCACATCTTAGCTGTTCAACTACTCAGCTTCCTCAGAAAGACTATTAGAAGACTAAAAGCAAAATGCTTTGAAGATAACATAGTGATAATGTTATTTATGATTTATTGAGCACCTACTGTGTAGCAGGCACTAGGCTAAGCATTTTTATTTGAATTAACTCATTTAACTCTCACTACCCTATACAATGGACATTCTCTTAATTTTATAAATAAGGTAACTGAAGCTAAGAGTGATGAAATAACTAGCCCAAGGCCACAGAGCTAGCAAGTGACAGGCTAGATTCAAATCCAGGTCTAACTCTAAGTCTTACTTCCTTTAGTTTCTCTGCCTTTCAAGGTTTACTGCCTAGCTCCTGCAGGAACTTCTGAGTAAGCCTGCCCCCCAATGGTCAGAGAAGACTCAAAACTAAGAAAGCTCCTATTGTACCAAATGCAACATTTTTCAGCCTGTCTCAGAAACAGTGGTGTCTACAACCCACATTAATTTGCAATATTGCTAACTATTCTACTAGCAAGAGCCCTGGACTCTACTTTCCTCAAAGTCTCAGACTGTTCATTTAATAGACTCCAAAAAGGTTTACAGCAACAGTGTCACCTAGACCCCACCCCAGGAGCTGGTAGCTGACACCTCCACGCAATGGACAAGGCACCTTAATGCAGTGTGACAGAGTGGACTTAGGTCCACTGAGAGGATCAGACCAAGCACCCACCTACACCAGCAGAATGTCTTTGTGGGAAATGTCTGGCCTGTGTCCTGTTATTTCTAAACTTCGATCCCACCCACAATGACCTCACTGCTGCATTAAGACAACAACGCTGCGCTGGGAAGAGGAGCCTAAGGGCTGTGAACAAGGAGAGCAGCAAACTGAAGATCTATGTGATTCCTTTGCAGAGCTTTCCGTCTCGGTGCCATGCAGAATTAAGGGGGTCACCCTTGTGGAAAAGAAGACACCTGAGCAGCTGAATTTCACAGACGCCAATGAGGCCTGTAAACTGCTGGGTCTAACGTTAGCCAGCAAAGACCAGATTGAAGTAGCACTGAAGTCTGGCTTTGAGACTTGCAGGTAATAAACAACTGGATTCACAAACATGGCTGGAGCTCTTCTGGCTCTGTGTTCTTGTTCAGCCATAGAGATGAATATATCCATTCAACTAAGATGTATTTTGTTACAGCTATGGATGGGTTGCAGATCAGATCTTAGTCATCCCTCGGATTCTCCCAAACCCCAAGTGTGGAAAGAATGGGGTAGGTGTCCTGCTTTGGAGAAATCTTCCCAACAAAAAGTCCAAGGCCTATTGTTACAACTCATCTGGTAAGTCAGATCTGCAGTCTCTCCATGTGCCATGTTTTCTCTGGGGTTCTCTGGCTCTATAAAGTGTCTGAGAAGAGTGACCCTGAGCAGCAGCAATCATAATGATGGTCATTTAACCCTCCCAAGACGGACCCTGTAATCATGCTAGAGATCGCTGTATGCCCCTCAAAGGAAAACATTAGGGAAAATATGATTGACTGGCAACATCAGGGGGAGGGCATCCCAGGAGGCTCCTTTACCTTCCTACTCCATTCTATAAAATAAACAGGAAGAAGAGAAAGAAATATCCACTACGGACAAAGTAATGTACTAAGTTATCTCACTGAACCTTGATAATCTCCCTATGAGGTATACTTTATTACCCCATTTTGTAGAAAAAAAACTTAGCTCAGAGGATCTAAGTATAGCTGTCTAATATCTCATTACTACAAAGATTCAAACACAGGTCTAACTCTAAAACCATGCTCTTTCCATTATCCTACATTCATTTATAGGAGACAAAATGTACCAGATGGTACATTTGACTTTTTTTTTTTAAACAAGACCCAATTTTGATTTTATGAAGGAAGTAGTTGAAACTAGAAAGTAGAACTGATTTGCTCATGGTCATGCAGTCATCCTTGAACCTTGTTTGGAGACCTTGGTCACCTTAACCCAAGTGCTTTACCTTCACAGAGAGGTTTAAGAACCTTCTCTGAAAGGATTTTCTTTTACTAAAAACTTGTTCTCAGTTTGTCATAAGAACTTCTGCCTGATTTATTACCCTTCACACATACTCAAAAATCTCACCTTCTATAGGTCGTACAGCTGGTCATACACAAGGATAGATTCCAAAATCATTCTCTAATATCCAAGAGATAAATGTGCATCAACGATATTATGTTTCCTAGAGGCAACATAGGGTCCAAGCAGTTCTCTGAGCCAAGGGGCTTTGGCACAGGAAGGACCCTGAAAAGTGCTCTACTTCCCTAACTTCACAGATGAAACTACTGTAGCTCAGAATGGAGGTTTGGTTTGTTCAAAGTCCTACAGTCATTTGCAGAGTCATGACTGGAACATAAAGCTTCTTCCACAATCCTCTCCTTTGCCTCTTCAGCCTGCCTCTGTGGGCTGGGGAACTGGTGATGTACATGCCTGCTTACCTCATAGGCAGCCCATGCCTGCCAAACAGCCTGGCCTTTTAACTGCCGGGCCTTCCTGCCAGCTGTCAGTGTGATAATATGATAACCAGCCCTCTAGACTCAACAGAAAGGAGCCAGGGGAAGAGGACTTGGATATATGTTTCCCCAGTTTCATTTAACTTGTACTTCTATCCCCTATTATTTCCTGCATACTTAAAGTTAGGTCTAGAGGCTTAATTAGAAGCATGTTTGATTTTTGGGCAAAAATACTGCATGGATAATATGGACTTTGGCTTGCATCCCAGCAAAAGGCACTTAATGTAGATATGTCCCACTATTAATATGCTAATTTTGATCATTTGACTAAGACGGTGACTGCCAGGCCTCTCGAAGGAACTCAAAGATATGTTTTCCCCTTTGCAAACAGTAGGTAATCTACACTGTAGTATTTTGGCACCATGCAAATATTCTGACCCCCCAACTACCTTTTACCTAATAGTTGAAGCAGCCATTGTTGATCCATCCTTGCTGGAATCAGTTATTATATGGGGGGCTGCAAAAGTAGTTATTTTCTCTTTATTTCTTGTTTTATTTTGTATTTGCATTTTTTTTATCCTCACCCGAGGACATCTTTTTTCATTTATCTTCAAATAGAGTGGGAGGGAGAGAGGGAGGAAGATAAAGAGAGAAACATCGATGTAAGAGAGATACATTGAGTGGCTGCCACCCACATGACCCCAACTGGGGCCGGGGACAAACTGCAACCGAGGTACATGCCCTTAGCAGGAACCGAACCCGGGACCCTCTGGTCCATGGGCCAGTGCTCTAACTGCTGAGCCAACCCAGCCAGGGCTGCATTTGCATTTTTAATTAAATATATTGGGGTGACACTGGTTAATAAAATATATGTTTCAAATGTACAATTCTATGATATATCATCTGTATATTGCATTGTGTGTTCACCACCCAAAGTCAAATCTTCTTCTGTCACTATGCATTTGACCCCCTTTACCCTTTATTACCCCACATCCAGCTTCCTTCTCTCTGGTAACCATATTGTCTGTGTTTATGAGTTTATGAGTTTTTATTTTTGTTCATTTTTTGCTTTCAGTTTTATATCTCACATATGAGTGAAATCATATGGTTCTTTACTTTCTGTCTGACTCTTACTTCACTTAGCATGATATTCTCAAGATCCATCCATGTTGTTGCAAATGGCAGTATTTCATCCTTTCTTGTGACTGAATAGTGTTCCATTGTATATATGGACCACATCTTTTTTATCCAATTCTCTATTGAAGGACACTGTTTTTTTTTCCCTATGTCTTGGCCATAATGCTGCAATGAACATAGGGGTGCACATATATTTATAAATACATGGTTTCAATTTTTTTAGGCAGGTACTCAGAAAAGGGGTTGCTGGGTCATAGGGTAACTGTATTCTTAATTTTTTGAGGAATTTCTGTACTGTTTTTCATAGTGGCTGTACCAGTTTACATTCCCACCAGCAGTGAATGAGGGTTCCTTTTTCTCCATAACCTCTTCAACACTTGTTATTACTAGTCTTGTTGATAACAGCCATTCTAACAAATGTGAAGTGGTATCTCATTGTAGTTTTGATCTGCATTTCCCTAATAACTAGTGAAGTTAAGCATGTTTTCATACATCGTTGGCCATTTATATTTCTTCTTAGGAGCAGTGTCTATTCAGGTCCTCTGCCTATTTTTAATTGGATTGTTTGGTTTTTTGATGGTTGAGTTGTATGTGTTCTTCATATACTTTGGATATTAACCCCTTGTCATAGTTGTTGTTTGCAAATATCTTCTCCCATTCAGTTGTTGCCTTTTTGTTTGACAGTTTCTTTTGCTATGCAGAAGCTTTTTAGTTTGATATAGTTCTATTCATTTATTTTGTTTTTACTTCCCTTGCCTTGGGGTCAAATTTATAAAATCCTCTCTAAGATCAAGGTCCATAAGTTTAGTACCTATGTTTTCTTCTATGTATTTTATTGTTTCAGGTCTTATATTTAGGTCTTTGATCCATTTTGAGTTCATTTTCATATATGGGAACAAACAGTAGTCTAATTTTATTATTTTGCATGTAGCTGTCCAATTTTTCCAGTACCATTTATTGAAGAGGCTTTTTTTTCTCCATGGTATGTTTTTGGCTCCTTTGTCAAAAATTAGTTAGCCGTATATGTGTAGGTTTATTTCTGGGCTCTCAATTCTATTCCATTGGTCTGTGTGTCTGTTTTTCTGCCAATACTACGTTGTTTTTAGTATTGCCACTTTGTAGTATAATTTGAAGTCAGCAAGTATGATACCTCCAGCTTTGTTATTTTTTCTCAGGATTACTTTGGTTATTTAGGGTCTTTTGTGGTTCCATACAAATCTGATTTTTGTTCTACTTCATTAAAAAATTAAAATGGTTATTTTCTAAATCTATTTTTCCTTCTGCACTTATTAGCTGGCATCCTTGATAAAGAAAAACCTCTCCCCTATTCCCCTCATATAGACACACACACACACACACCTCTTCACCTTATACTATCATGGACACATGGCATTTTACATATTCTGTGTGTTCAATATGCTGTACAATTTTTATTCTTTTTAAGGCTCAAATTGCCCCAAATTTGACAAGTGGGACTAGTTGACTTTTGCCCTTAATCCAATTAGTATTTTTCTTATATGGGCCATCTTAGTTCCCAACAAATAATATTAGTATATTTCCTTGTTCTACAATAGTTTCACAATTACAAAATCAACATTATTAGGAATAATAAACCTATTGAATGTAATCTAAGAATTTTTTTTTTTTTTTGCATTTCTTTTAGTCCTTAGAATATATTCCTCTAAAGATGGACTGTCAGAGAATTGTGTACAAAAGCAACTTGAAAAAATTCACTATTCTGTATGTTTATATCATTCTTTTGAAATAAATCAGGTTTACCTGCTTCTTCTGTTTGTGAGGATCAGAATTACCCTAACCCTTATCCTTATGCTAATCCTAAACTTACCCCATGTTTCTTTGTGTGTGTGTGTGTTTTAACTTCCTATTTAATTGCTATCTTGTGATATCTGGGGATCAGAGTAATTTAACCCTGATTCTCAACCTTACCCTAATCCTCTTTCTTACTGCTATCTTTGTGAGCTTTGGGGATCAGACCAAAGTGCCTTTAAAGCTTTGCATGCACCATCTGTTTCATGCTGTTCCTTCTGCCACAGTGCCCATCCTCTTCCACATGGCTAAATCCTCCTCTTTATTCAAGTATCAAGTGCGATCTTCTCCAGGTTCCTTGCTACACCCCTTACTCCTACCTTTCCTCTTGGACTCCAACCCCACTCTGTGTCTAATCTCTACCAGAGCACTTGGAGCTCTCTAGAGAATTACATTTATAGATGGGAAGGGAAGGAGAGCCAGGTCCTAACACTTCCAAGTGAGATACATTGTCTCCTTGACCAGCTAGGGATCACAGGACCAGACTGCTGTTGCTCCCTTGCACTAAAGCCTTCTTGGCTACACTTAAGAGAGACAAAGGAAAGGAATTTTTACAGATTTTATCTATTTTACCCTTAACTATGCTAAGCTCTACACATTTACCATCTCACTGCTCCTCACTAAAAAGACACAAGTGTTTCATTTCTACTCTCCAGGAGAAGTAACCGATGCTTAGAGTGTACCATGCTGTGCTCACAGTCAATAAGGGGAAGAGCCAGGATTTAGATCTTAAATCATGTTACTTCCCTGCAGCACCTTCCATGGTAAGAAACACACATCAATGACACAGGCCTGGAACGGGTCCTGGGCATCAATATTTTTCAAGCTCCCTAGATGAGTCTAACCCACAACCAGAGATGAGAATCACTTTTCCCTACAAGGTCTTGAAGATCTAAATGCCAGGATCCCCTATTTCTGCGCAGTGGTAATCATCTCCTTTACTACTGGGTTATACTCTCTGCCCTCTGTATTTCATCCTCCACCCACCTCCACTAATAACTATGTTACTCCTCTGCTTCACAACTGTGGATAACTTCTCATTTGAGAATACGATGTAAACTATCAAGCCTTTTACACATAACAATGGACATATTTGAGATCTTATATATCAGTTGAGAACTTTTATATATCAGCTTGTGGGTCCTATTCAAAAATCCCTGCTCCTACAGAATACATTCTGAATTCTTTAACATGACAGTTATGAACCTCAACACCCTGGCTCCAAACTGTCTTCCCAGTCCCATCCCTTGCTTGCAGTCTTCCATGCTGCCAATCATACACACAGCCTACTCTCCAGACACACTGCGCTCCTTCTCGTTTCTCTAACCTAACCACATTTTCAAACTTCTGGATTCTTGGATCATGCTTATTCCTATTGACTGAGATATACTATTCCCCCTTCTATAGTAGATACGTTGCTCCTCTGTTCTAGCCATTCTGCCCCAAACAGGCTGAGTTCATTCAACTTCAGGATCCTGAATTTCTTGTTCTCTTTACTTGCAATTCTTTTGTCCTAGATCTTCAGTGACTGGCTAACTTTTTATCATTCATATCTCTCAGCTTATGTATCACCTCCACAAAGAGATGTTCTTTTATCATTCTATCCAGAGTGTCTGTCCCCCATCCACCACCCATTCCAGTTTAATCTTTATCCTGTTCAGTTTTCTCCTCAACATTTACCATCCTTTGACATTTCTGGCTTAAAAAATATATATATCATCGCTCTCATTCCAATAGCATATAAGCCCCTTGGCAGGCAGGGACTTTGTCTCGTCGACACCATGTCCCTAGCAACTAGAACAGTGCCTGCACAAAGTTGGAGCTCAATAAATACGTGTGCCGAATGAACGCATGCACTCCATCCCCTGCCCAAACGCGTATCTTCTGTGAATCTCCCCCTATCCTTATCAAAATACTCTGTCCTCCCAGGAACCATGCCTTATTTGTCTCTATATTTTCAGTTCCCAACACAATATTTTGTGTTCAGTAGTTATTTTCCCCCAGATATTCATTTTCTGAGGGAAGGACTCAGCATTGCTAAAAAATGGGAAATGTATCTAAAAGTTCGGGGCAGAGAAAGTCAAGGATGATGTCTATTTGAATAGAGGTCTTTTCAAAGTAAAATGAATAGCATAAAAATCTAACTGAATGCATATGTAGTCAAATGTTTTAACAGTATTATAGTATCCGTGACTTTGATAATTTATTTAATTTTCAAAAATGAATGGGATGACTTTTCTTCATAGCTAACATGCCTGCTGATGCGACCCACTGCCACAAATAACTAGGATTTTAAATAGATGCAAATTCATATTATAATATATTCATGGCTCTGCCATTTACTAGCTCTGTGACTTTGGGCAAGTCATTCAGCTTCTCTGAACTTCAGTTTCCTCCTATATAAACGAGGGTTTGATAACATTGTTAAATGAAGTGCTATCGTCACTCAGAGGAAATACTCAACAAATGTTAGTTTCCTCTCTACCATGTTCAACAGATTAAAAGGCAAACCTACATCTCTCTCTCACCTCTCTCCACCCTTTTTTGATGAGCACAGAGAAATCTGGTTGTAGTAGATCTTTGTCCTGAAGTGGTCTCCCTGTTTATTCCTTCCTTTCACTTTTCCTTCCTCGCTTTATTCATCAGTTATTGAGCATGTACTACGTGCCAGGACCCGTGCACGTATCATGATGACCAAGACAGACCAGTGGGGAGGAGTGTAATGAGAACCGTGACAAGGGACGTACAAGGAGGTACAAGAACATGTACCTAGGTACCCAATCTAGTCACGAAGCCTGCCTGAGAAAGAGATGTTCAATCTGAGGCCTGAAGGACAAGTAAGAGTTAGCGAAATAAAAAGGGGGCAAAGAGTCTTACAGGTAAAGAAAGCATGGGGGTCAAAGGCGTGTAAGAGACGTGAGAGAAAGCATATCAAAGAACTGAAGGAATTTCAGTATGGCAAGAGCAATGAGAGAAGGACTGACCAATGAGGGTGGTCCTGTCAGCAGGACCAAATCATGGAGGGCCTTACAGGCCATGCAGTAGAGGCAGTCACCAGAGGATTCCAAGGAAGGAAGTGATACGGTTAGATTTACATTTTTTGTAAAACCATTCCAGCTACCGTATAAGGGGACTGGAGGGGCGTAAGACTGCAGGCAGGAAGACCAGTTAGGAGGCTGTTTCAATATTTACTTGTTATTTCATTTTTCCTTCCACATAGATACTTGGGCTAACTCATGCTTACCAGAAATTTTCACCACCGAGGATCCCATATTCAACACTCAGACTGCCACATACACCACAGAAATGATCGGCAGTGACACTGTACACTCAACATTATCTCCAGATGTGCCTTACTACACTACACCCCCTCCTGCCCGTACTCGGGCTTCCACTTCTCCAAGAAAAAGAAAATTAATTTGCATAACAGAAGTTTTTATGGAAACTACCACCACATCTATAGAAACTGAATCACATATGGAATATAAAGCAGCATTCAAGAATGAAGATGCTGGGTTTGGAGGTAAAGCCTTCTCTGTCTGTGTTTTATGTGTGTGTGTGTCTAACAGACAATATACCAATACATAGCTCGGCTGTCTCTAGACTGGGCACTCAGGGCCACCAAATACAAATAAAAGCTTAATGCAAACTCAACTTCCGTAGTCACAGAACTTGAGAGCTCAAAAGAACGTTAATAATGAAACGAAAAATCATGAGTACAAAATAGTTTCACTTTTCAAACTCAACTTTTAAAACCAAAAAGTTCTTGTTAAAATATATACCTTAAATGCATATGATTAGAGAGTCGGTTTTCTTATTTAAAAGTAAGGGTCTTAATTACACTTAATTGGCTTCAAACTTCTCAAAGCCACGGAGAGAAAACGGTCTCTTTCTGTCATATTGCAACTTATAGAATAGAAAGAGTATAAGAGGCAAGGCCGAGGGTGCTATAGGCAAGAAGCAAAGAAGCAGATGTGGACCATCCTAAGTGGTCCCTGTGTGGTCCCGGGGAGGCTTTTCTCCATCACTGTCTATGTCTCAGTCATGGTAAAGATGCAGTTAGAAGAACAGTGCACAGCGATGTGTACGTGAAGGGCCGACAGGCGTGTCTCTGTCTCCTGCAGGTGTGCCCACGGCTCTGCTAGTGCTGGCCCTCCTCTTCTTTGCGGCTGCGGCTGGACTCGCCTATTGCTACGTCAAAAGGTGGGGTTGTTGGCACATCGTTAGTCGTGTAATCTTTGTTGTATCCCTATCTTGTGTTTTCCCAAAGTTGCTATTAGCGTTCTCCTGGTCAAAGTGGAGACGGCTGTCCTCTTATACTGTCAATTTTCTCCCTCATCTCATCTCTCTTCCCTACGACCCAGTCTTTCCTACTATTTCAGCACATGCATATCAGCCAGCCTTTAGATATGGGTTAATGGCTGTCCCTTCGGAAATTAAGAAATAAAAAGAAAAGACTGACATCTAGGGGAGAATGTATATGCTTTATTTAATTTTCTATTCTTTGCTTGGTGGGAGGGTTGTGAGGTCAGTCTAAAGGTTGGCCTGTGAGATTACTATCCCATCTAAATGAATCCATTAGCATGGGGATGTGTTGATGTATTTGAGTATGCCTGTGTTAGCATCTCTCGGAAATAAAGTACCCAGTGTGCTGTGCCAACATGGCCACCACAGACAAAGCATTATCTATTGTTACATGTGTTATGTGGAAGTCTCTTACTTTGATTTCATGTTTATGCCTACAGGTATGTAAAGGCCTTCCCTTTTACAAACAAGAATCAGCAGAAGGAAATGATTGAAACCAAAGTAGTGAAGGAGGAGAAGGCCGATGATAGCAACCCTGGTGAGGAATCAAAAAAAACTGATAAAAAGCCAGACGAGCCCAAGAGCACACCCAAAACTACAGTGCGATGCCTGGAAGCTGAAGTTTAGATGAGAATGAGATGAGAGAACACACCCGAAGCTGATTTCTCTCCTGACACACATCCTGGCCCCAGAGGGGGAAACTAAAAGGGCCAAAGAACCACATAAGAAAGTCCAGCCTTGCTTCCTAACTGGACTCAGCGCAGGGCTACCTTTGGACTCTGTAGGTAACATAACCTTCTTACTCAATCCTGCTGGATCCTATCCTCCTGCCTCCAAAGCTTCCCACAGCTTGTCTTGCCTCATTATGTCCTAATAATATCCCAGTGGGAGGAAGGAGCTTAGCAGAGCCCAAGGATCTAAAACAGCTAATCAGGACACATTTGTAAAGAGGCCTCTGGGCTGGCGGAGAACAGGGGAGTCGAGAGCCAAGAAACCACCCAAACCAAGGCTTTTTCTACTGACTCCACAGCCCCGATCCCTCCTTCAGCTCTGAAAAGGAAACATTTATACCACCTGGCATGTCTCTCTGAGCCAGGCAAGAGCAAAAGAAGGAAAGAAAAGCTTAACAACTGAAGGCCAGAGAGATTCCCGTGACTTGAGACCTGATCTCTGTAAAGCCAAAATAAACAGAGAAAAAGAATAAGACCGAGGATATTACCAGCATGTTGCCAGCAGGGACCATAAATACAGACAGGGTCAACGTATTCATCTCTGAGGAACTGGAGTTGGAATTACTTTTTAGAACATACACACCTTTTCTTTTCTCTCTCTCCTGCTGCTGCCATTTTCTTTAGAAAAATATACTTTTATAAGAAACCCAAAAAATCTCCTAGAAATTTCTATTTGAGTTATAGAAATTATTACTGAGGAAAATTACTGTTAAAAAGCAATAAAACTTAAACATTTGCTGAATAATATACTAAATATAGTAAATACTATACATTTACTATACATCAGGTGCTATGCAAGGCGTTATACTCTGTAACTGAATATTATTCATCAAAAGATTGCATATAGTATAATGTTGTATGAAGATAATTGTTTTGTTTTGATATTCATAGCTTATCTACTTTTAAAACTGACTTTTTTTTTCTGAGACTAATCTATTAATTATTTTCTCTAATATGGCAACCATTAGAACCTTAATTTATTATTAACATACCTAAAAAGTACATTACCTTTATACAACAACGCACATTTTTAATGTCATCAACAAATATATCAGTAGCTGTTCTTTTTCCAGCAAGAAGAACCTGAGATGCAGAAATATTTGTAAATATTTGTGTCAAAAAAAATAAAAGCATTTAGAAAACTTCTTTTCTCTCTTATTTACATAGATGTATTATACCTTTCATAAAAAATAAAAGTAATCTGGTGTTTGCAAAAGTAAGAGACAACTACTACAAACAACTGTAAACCCAATAGTTTATACATCACTATGTGGGGTTGGTCTTGCTTTTTAAAATTTTCATTTATTAACTTGAGAGAGAGAGTGAAAGGTGGGGAAGGGGGGAGGAAAGGAGACAGAGACATGATTTATTGTTCCAGTCATTTATGCATTCATTAGTTGCTTCTTGTGTGTGCCCTGACCGGGGATTGAACCCACAACCTTGGTGTATCAGGACAGTGTTCTAACCAACTGAGCTACAAGTACACACACATAAAAAGTCCTTTTCTTGTCTCAAGTTCCCGTGTCCAGCGGGCCGGACTGCAGGTCTCTCCTTGCGGCCGCGGCGTGAGAGCAGAGTACAGGCTGCAGCGGTCGAAGTCATGGCAGGACAGGCGTTTAGAAAGTTTCTTCCCCTCTTTGACCGAGTATTAGTTGAAAGGAGTGCTGCGGAAACTGTAACCCAAGGAGGCATTATGCTTCCAGAAAAATCTCAAGGAAAAGTATTGCAAGCAACAGTAGTAGCTGTTGGATCCGGCTCCAAAGGAAAGGGAGGAGAGATTCAACCAGTTAGTGTGAAAGTTGGAGATAAAGTTCTTCTTCCAGAATATGGAGGCACCAAAGTAGTTCTAGACGACAAGGATTATTTCTTATTTAGAGATGGTGACATTCTTGGAAAGTATGTAGACTGAAATAAACCACTGTTGAAATGGCATCATGTGAAGCTGCCCATTCCATTGAAGTTCTGAAATCTTTCATCATGTAAATAATTTCTGTGTCTCTTTTATAATAAACTAATGATATCCAAACTATAAAAAAAAAAAGTCCTTTTCTTGGATTCAGGTCCTATATTCATTCCAATCTGTTACAGAGTTCACAGGAAGCAGGATATTCAGGATCGCTCATTCGTCTTTCTTCTCCAGCTTCCTGTCTTCCCCTCTCTAGTCATCCCTCCTTAGACTGCTAATAATTTCTTCCCCTCACAAGTGACAACACAGCTTCATGATCCTTTTATCTCAGAGGCCATAACGGGTTGGCATAGTTTTTTTTCAGATGTCCCACAAAGTATTATATTAAAATTTGGTTTAATTGCCAAGAATTAAAAATCAAGAGATTTGCCCTGGCCAGTTTGGCTAAGCTGTTGAGCCTCGGCCTGCAGACCAGAGAGTCCTGGGTTCAGTTCCTGCTAGGGGCACGTACCACACACACACACAAAAACATCAAGAGATTTCACGAATTTATATTTTGGGATTTCCTTGAAAAATGGGAAGATCTGGAGATAAAGAATCCATATTCCCTCACAGCAATAATTATCTGATACTGAGTAGTGGCTGTCTTCTTTCTTTCTTTATTTTTTAAATATTTTTCCTTTATTGATTTTAGAGAGAGAAGAAGGGAGAAGGAGAAAGAGATACAAACATCGATGAGAGAGAACATCAACTGCCGCCTCCTGCATGCCCCCCACTTGGGATTTAGCCCACAATCTGGGCATGCGCCCTGACTGGGAACCAAACTGGTGACCTCTTGGTGCATGAGTTGACGCTCAACCAGTGAGCCACACCAGTGGCTGTCCCCTTTAAAAGGCTATGCTCTGCCCTGGCTAGTCTGGTTCAGCAGTTAGAACATCAGCCCACAGACTGAAGGCTCTTGGGTTCAATTCCTGGTCAAGAGCACCTACCTGGGTTGTCGTTTGGATGCAAGAATCCAGTGGGGGTCATGCAGAAGACAACCAATTCATGTGCCTCTCTCACACTGATGTTCTGTTTCTCTCTCTCTCCCTCTCTCCTCCCCTCCCTCCCTCCCTCCCTCCCTCTCTTCCACTCTATCAAAACGACAACAACAACAACAAAAAACAAAAAAATATCTTTGGGTGGGGATTAACAACAATAATAAAAATAAATAAATAAAAGGCTATGCTCTCTCCACTTCACCACAGTCCTCATTTGCACCCTCATGCCAAAATAAAGGTGCCATTTCCTATGGATCTGCTAAAACTTTTGTCTTTTTTCACTCATTTACAACCTGCCCAGCCTTGCAGTCTATGACTAGAAACTGGTTTGTCAGTCCTTAAGCTTTATCAGTCTCATCTAGTTCTCAGGAAATGAAGAAAAAGAGGGAAAAATCTAAGTTAGTTGTCTTCCTTCCATGTGTGCTGAAAAATAATTAGATCTCCCCACTAGAGACATATTGTGGGCATGTTCTATACATTAGGATACTATCATCATCTGTTAATTTAGACGGGTATATGCCCTACCCAGGAGCTAGGGGGAAGAAGAACAATCCAATCAGCCACATATAATCATTATATAGCCTAATGTCAATTACAAATATACTGATAAAATATGTGACCTATCATCACTATGCAAAGAAGGAAGAAGGGAGGGAGAAAGGGAGGGAAAGCTAACATTTACTGAGCATAAGCTAAGTGACATTTTCACATGTTCTCCCATTTAATTACCACATTTTCCCTGAGGAAAATTTTTACAATTATGTTTTAATAGAAAATTAGATTTTAGAGGAGCTAAATCACTTATCTGAGGTCATAAGTCTAGTTAAATGGCAATGTTAGGATTCAACCCCAGGTCAGCATGACTGCCCTTACTCCTTTCTCTACACAACATGCTTCTTTTGCCAGTGACAGTAGAAGGATGTAAACTATTCCAATATGTAAACTTAAAATAGATCACTTGCCAAAAGCAACTGTGGTGAAATAAGAATAACTCAGGACTTCTGTCCCAACTTCAGGAGTCTTTCTTAAATCCATTTACAATAACAAGGAAAAAAGAGATCAACTGAAGAACTTTGAGAACCACCCCTTCAATGATGTAGACATCAACCTCAACAAAGACTTACCTGGTCCAGCTCATATGGCCAAAAAATGTGAGTCTCAGGAGGTTCCAGTCAAGATGGAGATGTAGGTAAACATGGTACTCGAATCCCCCCACAACCACATCACAATTACAACTAAACTACAAAACAACCATCATTCACAACTGTCCCAAATCGAGCTGAACAGAAGTTCTACAACTAAGGATATAAAGAAGAAGCAAATAAGCCACATGAGACTGGTAGGAGAAGCAAAGATAAGGAACAAGCTGGTCCCAGACCCATGTGTGATGGGTAAAAACCGGAAAGGAAATCTCAGCTGCACTGGTCCCCCTAAGGGGTCCCAGCCCCATACCAGGCCCCACAGCCCAGGGTTCCAGTGCTGGGAAGAGAATCCTTATAACTTCTAGCAGTAAAAACCAGCAAGGATTGAGGCTGAGGAGTCGGAGGGCTTCTGAAGTCCCAGGCAGTCCTCTTAAAGGGCCCATGCATGGACTTACTCTGACTCACTGGCTCTGAGCTCCAGTGCTGGGACAGCAGCTTGACAGGCACCAGAGACATATGGGGAGGAATAAATTATCTGGCATCAGGGTGAGAGCTGGAGAGATGGCTTTCTCCCAGACAGAAGTGCTAACAGAGGCCGTTGTTCCTTTGATGAGCCATCCCCCTACAATGCAGGCAGGTGGGCACCATATCTGAGTCTCCATTAACCTGGCTAATACTGTTTCTCCCACCCTGGTGATTCCCTGAGACCCCATCTCACTCAATTTGCAGGCCGACCCAAGCTGTTTCCAGTGGCTTTTCAGTATAAGCAGCCTATCTTGGTTCATGCTTCAGACTTTTGTAAAAATCTCTCAAACAAATAGCATCTGGCCTTGGTGTTCCCCATACCTCTAAGTGGTCTCAGGCCCAGCACTAGCAACAACTGGCCTTGGCTTGCAGCTTGGCCTCGCCTGGGCACCTCTAAGCCCAGCACAAGTAGCAGCCATCTGCAGATTGCTTTGTAGCACATGCCAGGTGGCCCTGGGAAGGACACAGGTGGCAGCTGACCTTGGCCTACACCTCCCAGAAGGCCCCACAGCCACCTCCACAAGCAACACACTCAAAGGGTGGATTCAGTGGGCACCAGAGCTCCCCTGAAGTAAGCCCTGCTCCATGGGGTTGGCCCCTGCACAGCTGATCCTCCACAGTTGTGGAAACCAGTCCTTGCAGTCAATTGCCTGGGTGTAAATCTCTCTTATTGACATGCCAACAGCAATCAAGGCTTAACTACAACAGAAATGTGTACACAGCCCATGGGGGGGGGGGGGTGATGCAAATCTGGAACACCCAGCTTGGGTGATCCAGGAGGCTGTGCTACTGAACCCTGCAGAACACCTACTGCATTAGGCCACTCTACTAAGCCCAGGTGACATAGAAGCTCTACTTAATACATAGAAACGAACACAAGGAGGCTGCCAAAATAAAGGGGGGAAAAAAACATGTCCCAAATGAAAAAAAAAAAAAACAGAACAAAACTCCAGAAATAGAACTAAACAAAGTGGAGAAAACAATCTATCAGATGCAGAGTTCAAAACACTGGTTATAAAGATGCTGAATGAACTTAGTGGGAGAGTAGATGAACTTAATGAGAACATCAACAAAGAGATAGGAAACATAAAAAATGAACTAGCTACATAAAAAGAACCAGCACAAATGAAGGATACATTAACTGAAATAAAGCATACATTACAGGGAACCAATACAGTAAATGAAGCAGAGGATCAAATCAGTGATTTGGAAGATAAGGAAGTAGAAAAATCCAATCAGAATTGCAAAATGAAAGAAGAATCCAAAATAAAATGAGGATAGTATAAGGAGCCTATGGGACAACTTTAAGCATACCAGTATTCCCATTATAGGTATGCCAGAAGAAGAGAGAGCGCAAAGAATTGAAAACTTATTTGAAAAATGACAGAAAACTTCCCTAACCTGGTGAAGGAAATAGATATACAGGTCCAGAAAGCACAGAGAGTCCTAAACAAGTTAAATCCAAAGAGGCCAACACCAAGACATATTATAATTAAACTTCCAAAAGTTAAAGACAGAGAGATCTTAAGAGTAGCCAGAGAAAAGCAGTTGGTTACCTACAAGGGAGCTCCCATAAGACTGTCAGCTGATTTCTCAACAGAGAGTTTGCAGAGCAGAAGAAATTGGCAAGAAATATTCAAAGTGATGAAAAGCAAGGACCTACAAGATTACTCAACCCAACAAAGCTATCATTTAGAATCAAAGGACAGATAGTTTCCCAGACAAGAAAACGCTAAAGGAATTAATCACCAAACCGGTATTATGAGAAATATTAAAGGGTCTTTTTTATGATGGGAGAGGGTTTGGGGGATGGGTGAAAAAGGGCAACAAATTAAGAAGTACAAATTGGTAGTTATAGAATAGTCATGGGGATATAAAGTACAGCATAGTGAATATAGTCAATAATATTGTAATAACTATGTATGGTGTCAGATGGGTACTAGAGTTAATAGGGTGATGATTTAATAAGTTATATAATGCCTAATCATTGGGTTGTACACTTGAAACTAATATAATATTGTATGTCAACTGTAATTGAAAATTTAAATTATTTAAAGTAAAAAAAGAAAAAAAAAAAAAGCCCTTTAAAAAAATGGAAGTCACAGAAGGAACTGAGAAAGCTCCTCTAAACTCCTATTCACAGAGTAAAAATAAATAAATAAGGACCAATTTCACAGATGACTAGAAGTAAAGTGTGGTCTGGACATCTCCTTCTTACTAGTCAAATTTTCTTTATTATCCATTGAACATTCCCAAGTTCAGATCTACAATCCAGTCTACCAAACCAATCTTCAAATGAAACAGGAAGACAGCCATATGATTACATTTCCAGGTGGTGCAAAGGATCTCCCTTCTTAGAAGTTCCTCTTCTTCATGCCTGCCTCCCTGACTTAAACATCATAGATCTA